TACAACATATCATACTTGGCAATTATTAAAATTTACATCGCTGACTTAAGATGGGAGGTACAACAACATATGTGCTGTGTCGCCTCTGTACATCACGCGACACGTCTCGGGTAGGTATACCGTATACCGTACATGCCTCAAAATATCTTAAATAGCTTAAAGTTAGACGTGGCGAAATTAACATAGTCTTAACGTGATCTCAACAATAATTCAGAGGCTTTAGCGAGCAGCGTGAAATATCGTCGTGCTCTCAAAATCCTTCTGAATATTTATCGGAATTTTCATGATTAAACATGTTAAAGACTTACTTATCGCTTGTGGTACGCCCGACTCACTGTCGAGTGCGCTAAACAAGTTAGTTAAAATTAAATACAGAATTAAACCCTCCGTAGTTTTTTTAAACTATACGAGGTAGAAATAAATGGTTCATCAAAAACACTTAACACGTGGTCAACTTTTAGCTATATACTGAGACCCAAATACAAAAAGACATACATTTGTTGGAACTAAACAAAAAAATATAAATAGCTCTACTATGTCATTGAATAAACTTATCAATTGAAAATTTTGAAAAACTAGACTAGACTTGCAACTAATATTCCGCTATTATTCGGTATTCTGCCTATTCGACAACATTTATCATACTTGGCCGAATACCAAATATATATATATATATATAATATTCGGCGGAACGCCTACTGCTTAAATAATGTTTTATGTTGTACACAATTAATTGGTAAAAATGCAAATTTTTATTTATTTAACAATATATTTTTATAGTCATTTATTCTTACGTATTTTTCCTTAAAGTCATTTAAATGTATATCCTCGTGAATTGTCGTAATTACAATTCAGAAGTGCAAGATACAGAGCGGGAAGGCCAATTTTTCTAAATTTTTTGACAATATCGTACTTCCTTAATTTCCACACGACACTCGGATTAATTTCGTGCTCCTCGAAGTCTTTCCATAGAGGTCGGTCTTTCGGGGGCCATTATTGATCATTATAACTTGGACCATACGCCATTTTACTTTTGAACTAAACTAAATATAGAGAGTACGATAAACTGTGTTTTCATATTTACTTTTATGTCTTTGTCTAAAAACTAATTTTCTGCCAAAAACTCAGCGCGGCGTGAAATTGAACAGAATAGGAAGAATCATGTCAATACAAGTTTCCTCGCCGCGCGCTGGTCGAATACTTTTGCATAATATTCGGCCAATATTCGGTATACGGCAGGCAGTCGAATATACTAGTGATTGCAAGGCTTATTCTTTTTTTTTTTTTTTTTTTTTTATGCGAAAAGTTGTCAAACGAGCAGACGGTTCACCTGATGATAAGTGAATACCGCCACCCATGGACATCTGCCACTCCCGAGGGTTGCAGATGCGTTGACAACCTTTTGAAAATTTGCTCCGGCTACCTCACTCACCAGACGAAACGCGAAAGTATTTCTCATACTTCCACTTTACGCTGGTCTTCTGTGAGGTCGTGGTACTTACCCGGACGGGCCTGCCCATATCCGGACGGGCCTGCCCATTCTTACACGATTTATTCAATTACAAATGTTTTTAAAGAATAGAGAAATGTCACTATTGAAATAATTATGAATTAAAAATGGACACAAAGGGCTACTTAATTAGCGGTTATATTATGATATCCGCCATTACTTAGCACGCAATATTCTTAATACGCTAGTATTTGAAGCTTAAAACTTAGATTTTTACTTCGATGACTGACACAGAGATACATAAAAAACAAATCGGAAAAATACGAATACATTTCTTCTTCATGAGCACAAGTTACCAATAATTTATAACATTTATGTCAAAACTAGGTTATTAAGTTAGTGTACAACACCGCTATTAAAAAAAATTGTGCATCACTAAGTATGTTACATTGAAATACTACACTGACTAAAAAAAATTTTTTAATTTGATTACATATTTATTGTTGTAAAGCAACTAGTAAGGAACATTTTTAGCGGATTCTTGGTCGCATTTTCTTTATTGTGTTAAAGTAGACGTGACTCATATAACTCGCAAGTCCGTGTTCATAAAACAAAGTAAATTATATTACCACTTTAAGATCACATATTTTCTAAGGAACAAGTAAATTATTTGTAACTAAATGAAATACTCTCCATTGCTGTTTCAGTGAAAATACTTATCGTTGCTTTGTAATACACAAAAAATTAACACATTGAAAAAATATCTATTGAAACTTGCTTCTATTATAAATAAAAATATAAAATAGTAGTATCTTAGTAAAATAGGAGTAACTATAACTTTGTAACGTGTTGTAAGCTATAGAGCTAATAAAACGTTTTACGATGAAACTATAACTTTAAAGTTGACTAAATGCACCATACATACCGGGAGTGAAACACCTTGTATTTGCCCCTAAGTCGCAACAGTATAACAATGAATAACATTTTTATCAATTCTGACAAACCACTATCCGATATAATCCTTTTATTCTGAACACAAAATTGAAATCGTAATAAATGCCGCAAAAAATTTAGTTCAATGTTCTTTTCGCGTGCCAAGCTTGTAAAGTTCCCCAGGTGGTCTGGAGAACGTGCATTAATTCACTTTCCAAACCAAATACAAATATGTAAGTGAGATATTTGAAGTCAATTTTGTTTTTGTTACTAAAAACTCTACCACTGTACCAATAAGTTAAGTTCCGTTTTCAGAGGAATCATTGTTTAGAATTTAATATTGATACTTAATCTATTGTATATTCAAATTGGCAAAGCTATCTCAATTTTTATTTAATCATATTATAAATATCAAATGACAAATATTCAAGTCTAAGATTTAATAGATTGATAGGGAGTTACCTGAAAGTGTGTTCAAAGTTATGATTCATATATTTTTTTAATACTACCTTTTTATTACATCTTTTATTTATTGCGGTGCTTATTTTTTAATGTTCATGACTATAAGATATACCATACGAAGGAAGCGCTGAATACATTATGACAAAGTAAAAATGATTTTATTGCGAACACAATCGTGGTACAAACTAGGGAAAAAATCATTAAACAGGGTCGCCTGGCTTTCCCATGCCATGGAAAATATATTGAGGTATTTTTGTATTTTATTCGTAATGTGAGAAGAAGTTTACATTACGTAATATGCCTATGATTTTTAAGTTTTCACATAGAAATCGAATTTTATTATCTACTTATTTTATTGTCGCCTCAGAAAATGGATAAATTCTTCAAGATTCTATTATAAATTTTTATATTTACGCTATATGCGTTAAAATTCTTTGCAGGATTCGTTCACTGGTCAGAATTTAGACGCCTAGAATGTATTTTTTTATGTTTTATTATAACACCAGACCAGTCTGCAGGGTTGCCTGGAAAAAAATGTTTTGAGTATCTCATTAAATTATAGAATCCCCTTTGGATTGAATATTTAATGAGAGGTATTGACCAGTTTTTTCAGCATATAATTTTTTTTGTACAAAGTGTCACATAGTCTCAAGCTGTCGCGTGACCGCATGGTTCATCCGGGCATTTACCACGTCCTGAAAAAGTGCGGCTTCAATAAGAAGCATTCAATATACTTTTGCGTTTCATCTGTGGTAGAGCCACGCAACTTCTGCTGTTGCACGGATGGGCACGCGCCTCTTGGGTAGTACTACGGCAAAAGACCGGCGCGAAGTGGAAATTGTATAAGTTCGCATTTCGCCTGATGAGTGAGGTAGCCGGGGCTGGCTTTTTTAAAGCTTGTCAATGCATCTGCAAGTCATCGGATGTTGTAGATGTCCAAGGGCGGCGTTATAACCTTAACATCATTGGTGAACCACCTTTTATATTTTATCAGGGGAGAAACAACTCCATTGAAAACTTTTTTCACATTAAAAATCAGGTAGTTCAACAAAACAGTTATCTCGTACCATCGGGTGAACCGCTTTATGTGTAAGTTAAGGAAAGCAGTAAATAATTGGAGAAAGACAAATATAGGATTTGGCAAAAGTGATTGAAAGAACATTTTTGCATCATTTATGAAGTTTATTTAATAAACGGGCATAAACTTGGATTACAAATCTGCAGAAATGTATGAAGCTTAATTTATAGGATTAAGTATAATTTCGATTTTTTTTTCACAGCCATTTAATAACACCAAGATATTTAATACTTCCATCATACGTTGTCAACTAAAGTCAACTCATGAAGGAAGTCGAAATATGAAAGAAAGAAGTTTAATAGAAGTCTACGGCTGTTAAATAGAACATTAAATACAATACATTTTATATTTAAATTCAAATGTTATGAATACAATGTTTTGACCTAATATGATTGCCTTATAATAATAATAATAAATAATAAAATATCTTTTTTCACATAGACGCTTGCGCGTTCTTATGAAACGTCAAAATTTTACAAGAAATTAACACGTTCGTAAGTTACCACCGGTTCGGAAAGCAGTTTCTGTTGAGAAGAAACCGGCAAGAAACTCAACAGTTGCTCTTTTTTAAAAAATCAGTTTATAATATAATAGTACAATAGTCTTGTTTTAGCCTACGTGAGTATCAACAGTATTAACCCCACACATTGGCGTCTCCAAATATTCGGCAATAGTATGATAGGCTTTAGCTATAAGTTTACTTTTAATTTTTCGTTTAAATTCATCAAGTGGCAGACTTAATATCGACTGTGGGATTTTATTATACATGCGCACACTTTGCCCCATGATGATATATAACTAACATTCACATATTTTAAAACGTGGTTATTACAACCATCTTTAAGTAATATATCTCAATTACGTATCATAAACAATGATACTACATAATACATAAGATGACAAGAAATTGAGCATTGAGCTTTCTAACTACCAATATATTATTCACGTATCTGTGTACATTAAGACAAAATGTCCTTTTAATTATAATCTATGAATTCAATAAAAATTCAAAACATCGACAAAATAAGAACGATAGATATGACTGAATGGAATGTAGAACTCCAAAGTTCTAACCTAACTTATAATACCAATAGTTTCAATGTCCGTTGGGTAATAGAAATTGTTCTTTTTTGTTGATATGGATGATATTTGCTGATCCACGGGCACTCGGGTGTCGTAAAGAGATGGGGATTGGAAGATGATGCCGAAGGTTCCCACGAAGCATGCGATGGTGAACAGCCAAAGGAAGAAGCGGTCGAGCACCATTGACATAAACTTCCAATCTTCCACCACCTGTGATAGCAAAGGTATTAGACCCAAAAAACAGACCCAAATAACAGAGACGAATGAATGAACTAATACAGAACAGATTACATTCAAAACACACGCCCCTCATTTTATTCTTATGTGAAGTTAAAACGTTCTGTAAACACTCATAGCGTACTGCGTTGCAACCAAAAATATACAGATGTCCAGCGCCACGTTAGAATTATAGGAATATTTAGAAGTAAAACAGAATTTCTTTAGGGCGAGCGACTATTTCCCAGAGCCAATATAGTTCGACCACAGTGAAATGAATAGGGAAAAATACTGATGTGTTGTTGCGTATTTATTTCAAAAGAATTACTCAAGAGATAGTTCACGAGATTTTACGCGTTTCCAGAATGTAACCCAATTTTAACATATCTGGCAAAAGGAATATTAGCTAGTAAGTTGTGGACCAACAATGTCAACATACATTCACACCTTTTTCTCATTTTTCTCCGCTGTGATTCAATGCTCTTTTAGGTCAAATGTATTGTCTGCTCCAGGGCCGGACGGAGTCCCTGGGCGGGTTTAGGTCTTGACTTGGAATACCTTAGGGGAAAGGTTGAGTCGGTTGTTCACCAGCTGCCTCCGATATTCCAAGTTCCCTACGGCCTGGAAGGAAGCTAAATTGGTCCTTCTGAAGAAGGAAGGCCGGGCTGCAGAATCTCCCTCTGCGTATCGTCCCATATGCCTCTTGGACGAGATTGGCAAGCTTTTCGAGAGGATACTTGCCGCTCGTCTTAACAGGCACCTGTCGGTCCCGATCTCGCTGAAAACCAATTTGGTTTCAGACGGGAGCGTTCAACTATAGACGCTATAATGCGCGTTCGCTCCCTGTCTGAGCAGGTGGTCTCTCAGGGTGGGGTTGCGTTGGCGATAAGTTTAGATATCGTCAATGCGTTTAACTCCATTCCATGGGATGCAATCAAGAGGGGACTATCACATCATCAAATGCCCCTCTACTTGCAAGCCGTTATCGCGGACTTCTTGCGCGACAGGTGCATTTCATACACGGATAAAGACGGCCGGAAAATCCGGAGGCCCGTTACTGTGGAACATCGCCTACGATGCAGTCCTACGTGTTGACCTCCCTGCGAATGTGGATGTCGTCTGTTATGCAGATGACACTCTAGTGATCGCTAGCGGTGATGCCTTTTAGGGGACCAAGGAACTCGCCGAGCAGGGAGTACGAAGAGTCGTTGCCAAGATCCACGAGCTGGGATTGGAAATAGCGCCACATAAAACCGAGGCGTTATGGTTTCACAAGTTGCCACGCAGCAGGGAACCACCCGATCACACATTCTTGTTGGTAGAACTGATGTCAGAGTGGGAAGGTACATGAAGTGTCTGGGTCTTCATCTGGACGGTCGCTGGGGGTTGAGGAACATTTTAAGCGCCTCGTTCCCCGGTAACGAGAAGGTAGCGGGTGCCATGTGCAGAGTGCTGCCTAATCTTGGGGGACCGATAGAGGAGGTTCGTCGCCTCTATGCAGGGGTCGTGCGATCCGTTGCCTTATATGGAGCGCCAGTATGGGCTAATAGGCTTGCTATTCGTCGCTGTAGATCCAAAATTTACAGTATCCAGCGTAGGATGGCAATACGGATCGTAAGAGGATACCGAACCGTATCCTTTGAAGCGGCGACTATCTTGGCTCGCTTTCCACCTCTTGATATACTGGCAGCCATGGATGCACGGGTTTATCATCAGACCCGCATCCTCCGTCAGGACGGTGGAAACGAGTCAGAAGAGGCGTTCCGGTTAATTAAACAGCGGGAACGGCGGAATGCATTAGCGACGTGGCGCGCTCGGCTCAGTGAAGAGCGTTATGCGCGCAAACGCGTTGTTGAAGCTTTCCTGCCGGTATTCGAAGCCTGGATGGATCGACGAGGAGGTAGACTCACTTACAGACTTACACAGATAATTACCGGACACGGATGTTTCGGTAATTATCTGTGTAAGACCGGGCGTGAGTCGACCGCGAGCTGCAAACATTGTGGAGGGAGAGATGAAGACTCTGCATCCCATACACTGGCAAATTGTCCAGCGTGGGAATTGGAACGTGCTACCCTAACGGGTGAAATCGGACGGGACCTCTCTCTATCGTGAGCTATGGTCTTTCTACTTGAAGAATGAATAAGAGTAATTCTTCATTAAATTTATTTCGCAGCTAATATTTAATCCATTACCCGTCAAAAATGCGTTCTTCTGCCAATCGATCTTTACCGCACATACAAAACACAGATTGTTTTTTAACATCTGATATTATCTCAAACAAACGATAAGGTTGCACACACTAATTATCCTAATCGTCAATAATTACCAACTCGTATCGTATATTTTTCTCCATCCTCCTTCAGCCCAAAACATCCACCGTCATTGCCAGATCATTACTTTGTTCCACATAATGTATTAATATTAAAAGAACGCACAAGGATGAGCTTGCAAGTATACCTTCTGTTCGTAATTACTACACAGTGACAGCGGTGGGAAGAATTTTCTGTTGTTATTAAATATCTCGTGTATTATGGTTACGCAATGCTATTGCCTAGTTTAGAAAAGTATATACGCGTACAAAAGGAAAAACAAATAATGAATTAACTGGTCACGAAATACTGATTAAGAATAAATTTAACTCTTATGTCAAATTCAACCAATTTATTTAAATTTATTATACGAAAATTGTTTCTATGACACATTCAACTAGGCTAAATTTTATTAATTACACATTAGGAGATGCACTAGATACATTACCCTTAAATAGGATCAGGTTCATATAATTTAGATTGTTAAAAAACATACTAACGCCCTATTTCTGAAACTTTGATCATCGTAGAAATGAACTAATTGTTTATAATGATCTTCTTAATGATCACAGTGATCAATTCATGACCATCCTTTTTTACCCATCCTTTTGGCATCTTAAATGAGAGCTGATTAGTTATTAGCTGAGAGTTGGTTTAACCATCCTTTTGGCATCTTAAATGAGAGCTGATTAGTTAATTTCTAGGATAATCAGTGGTTCAGACACGGGCGTAATAGTGCTATTTTATTTATTAAATTTCAACATTGAATAAACATTTTAAATAAGCAACTAACTTTCAAATTTTCACCTCAAATTAGACTAACCTCGTTGTCCTTGTCAGCGTCTTTGATGTGTTGTGCTATGAACCGAACACTCTGTAAAGCGGCTGCAACTTCAGGGCTGAGATGACGCGGCAGCATATTTTCCGATTCAGTAACTAGTGACAAAGATTTCAGTTAACTTTAGTTCCGTTTGTTTAAACTAACTCAGGGATCTATTTTAATTGAAATTTAGCACGTGTCACAACACCCACACCAGTGGGATGAAACATACAATCGTATATGGTTAACTGAACCTGTTGGTGGAATTAAACGCGATGAATATCCATAAGGTAAATTTGAAAAAATAAAAAAATAAGATAAATGGAAGTACAGATACAGAAGTGTCATTTTAAAAGGAACAAAGGGAATTTAACTCCATATAGGTTATTATGAGAGCGAAAATTTTGAACGTCGGCATCTAGACTTATCTGGACGATACCATGTGATCATATATTATTAAAATATGTACTAATTATAAGTAATAAGCTTGGCCTTTGAGCGAGAAAGGAAAACTTTTACCAGCCGCAACAATAAAGCGCAAGCTCTTCAACGGCTGAGTTTAGTTCAAATTGATGATTGTGATGAACATAGTGTTTTTCTAATGTCTGGGTATTTATATATCTATAATATGTATATATTTACAAAAGAAAAGCATTTTTAAGTATGTTTATAAGTTATCTAGCACCCATAGTACAAGCGTTGCTTAGTTTGGGAATAGAGAACGTTGTGTAGAAGTGTTTTCTAAAATATTTATTTATAGTCTATAGTAGTTCAAATTTTATACTAAACTACGTGTTTTTAACTACGTATACACGTACCAGAGGGTCGTTGGTGTGCGCCGGCTCCAAGCATGTCATCTTCGGGGCCAGGGGACTTTCGGTAGTCACCATTATCGCATTTACTATCGCCAAACGTATCGGTCAAGCTGTCCCTGCTGAATTTTGGTGTTTATTATCGAAGTTAGCTTCAGCAGATTTAAATTAGATTCTAATCCAGCAACATAAATATGCTTCCCTATCATGGATAGTATCATATGCAAAGATTATTCGTTAGTAAAAATATATCAATATCCGTTTACTATTTATTGTCGAAATCGGGTTCGGTTTTTAATCAGAACTGAGTTTGGATTTCATTGTATTCGAGGAACTTACATATCCTGCCCATTCAGGTTATCCGATTCGCGATTGAAATATATCAACCCGCGTGTTATAGTGATGGTTGATCTTAGCGATAATGACGATGGTTAAGTAGTGCAATAATTGTGCTGACCCTAGCACACTCGGATAAATATTTGAGGCTGACGGCGTGTTCGGTCATGAATGAAATATGTCTGAGAACCATGACGCTTGATCTAACGCACTGCATTAACGTCTATATTCATTTAAGCCAGGAAGCGTAATCGTTATTATGGAATGTTTAATATGGACCTAAACTTTTGGGATATTAAGTTTAAAATATACATTTAAGAAAATGAGACTTTAAAAAAAACAGAAACATTCAGGTTAATCTCTTTCACATAAGATTGTGTGATTTTTTTTATATGATTGAAGTTTTATACACTATATAGTCATATTAGGTTTTACGCTATTTGCAGGCATAGGCTTTTATAATATGTGATGTGTTTGCGCTGTCTGTAGACTTTTATATTTGTAGGAATTAAATTTTTTTTTAATCAGTACCAACTATAAAAAAACGGTTTGTCTTGCTTGGTTAGTTTTTGTAATCAATATACATTATTGAATTAACAATATACAGTATTGAGTGCTTCATTTTTTACATAGTTAGTACATTAAAGTTATAAATATTTAGTCCGAAAATGCATTAATGCATTTAATGATAGACAACAATTAAACAACAAAAAAAAGTGTGTTATCTTATGTAAGCATGGGTGAAGTAATATTCCTTTGGTGTGAATTAAAAAAAAATCCACTTTGATGATTCAAGTTTTTAAGGGTATAATTAAATCGACATGTAGTTAGTTATCATGGTGTTAAATTCATGTCACTGACTAAGTTGATATGTACATTTCATGTAGCTGTGCGCGCGCACGCAAAGACTCACTCTCATATTTTTTCCGAAACGCGGCAACACAAACATAACTTAAAAAAATATATAAACAAAACAAGTGTACAGATAAAAAATTAGAACATCTACTGCATTCCCAATCGCTTTGTAGACACAAAATACCGCGACACTCGTTCAATCGACGCCACATTGGTCCGGAACAAATCGCTGACCGAAATTTCAAGCCAATGCAAATACCATTTCGACGTAGATACAAAAGATTCAACAATTTCAATCGAAATTGTTTTGATTTTCATATTTGTTATTCAGAATACATACGATGCAGCGAAAACACGTTGAAGGGTCAAGAATTCCTTATTTTAAATTTTGTATTACTTGTCGACAACAAGTTTTACTTACTAGTTTGAATGTTTTATAGATTAAGCTCAGGCAGCTCACAAACGAAGCAACAGCTAAATTAGTTTATTATGCTTACTTGTTTATTCTTACGTGGCTCTACGTCCGATTTGGACATAATATTTGTATTACAAAAGCTGATACGGGCTGTCTATTGCTTGCGTACACGTGAGTTGTTAAGACATGTTTTTAAGCAAATAAACGTTTTACCTCTCCCATAATTCGGGAGGATGATGTATGTACGCAATAATATCCATCTCAAACCAACACTGGAAGTACCGAGGTTTAAACTGCCTTGGAGGTATTATATAACTAAATAAGTAACAACCACAAACAACTAATTTTAAACTGATTTTTGATAATGAAATAAAAAAGGAGAACAAGCCCGCAGAGTTCTCTGAACAGGTCTAAATTAAAGAAACGGCGGTACGTTTTTGACTTAGAATAAGCCTATAAACAAGCCTATATTGAATGAATACTTTTTGAATTTGACTTTGAACCTGTATTTTACTGGTAAAATGCATTACGCAGATTTTGTCTTAGATAGCTCTAATTAACACAGCTATACGATCGATGTCTTCACGACGCGAATCTCTCTAATCTGTCTGATTTCTTTAACTGGCACTGAAGAAAACTATATTTATGAGTTATTTATTTATTTTTGGTTCAGCCTGACTTTTGTTACTTATAGTGAAAATTTCTAAGTAAATCATCGAAACCGGTGAACAAAACTCAAAAGGTATATGGGAGGTCCCTTTTAATAGCTTCAACACAAACAGAGCAGAAATAAATACATAGCTTTATAACCATTCGAGCCGATTTAATTTATGTACTGTAGCGTAGCGGGACTTAGCGGGACTTAGCGGGGCGCAGCGAGGCGCAGCGAGGCGTAATTTTATTTATCGTAAAACGCGTTTCAGAGCGCCGCATAAAACGCGATATATTTTATGCTGCGTGTCAAAACTTATTAATGCAACAGTTTAAGAAGTAAGAATCCCGAGGGAGATCTATCGATGGTTCCTATTCTGAGGTTTGATTCTTATATGTTTTATTATAATGGCAATAACGCGGCATCTGTTTCGTTAAGAGTAGTGTCTATAAATAATAATAACGTTGGTCAAAATTGTAAGATCATTTCAATATCATCGCAACATCGGTGAGTGAAATGTTCCTGGATGACATATAGTCTAACAAATAAAAAGACGGTCTAATTAAATATACAGAGTGTTTATTGTCCCACAAGTATAAATTTGATATAGTTGATATCAGACTTGATTGCACTTAAAGGATTTTGTTTGATTTGAAGGTCTAGATCTCACCTCGAAGGACAGAAACAAAGCTTTTGTTTGAGACGCAAACCACAGAAACCTTACGTCTTAGAGGTTATCGCAACTCTTCGTTGCGACCAATTGCGCCAAGCGGGCAAGTTCTTTTATCGCTCAAAGATTAGGTACAATTTTTCAATAAGGATACAGATAGCCATTTTAGATCCGCAGTTAGTATTTATAAATAATGCACAAAGTAATGTTTCGTATAAATACTTTTTACATATAAGACTTTTAATGATGTAGTGTGACCTATGAACAGAAATGGACCAAACAAGGTTGAGGCTTGATTGTATATAAATGTCAATAGTTAAGTTACCACATATATGTTACTCTAAATCATTTAATAAAGTACCAATAGATGACGTTCAGTAGCGGACTGGGAAAGGATGATTTGGTTTCATTTAAAACAAATTGATTAACTTTAATTTAAAACTAAGCCAACTTTCGCAGTTGGCTTAGTTTTAAATAAAAGTTGATTCCTGTTCTCCTTCTTCACGTCGAAACGTTAGCTCTAGTTCATACGAATACTCGACCTTGTCGGGGATCCAACCCACGCCCCCCATCGAAGTGTAACATTGAACAACTACACCGACGGAGCTATCAAAGTAATTGTTATTATAAATTGTACCCTAAGGTTAACGAACGCTTGAGCTATTACCATTCCGAGTTTCACTCAAATACGTATAGCCCTTGAGACGTGAACAATAGTCACACTACTCGTACAGGATTTTTAACATTATCTTTCATTTTTGACCCGATTGGCGTGGGGAGTAGTGATCCTGCCTCCTGCGCCAGAGGGTGTGGGTTCGATCCCCACTACTGGAAAAATATTGCGTGATGAACACGATGTTTTTATAGTGACTGGGTGTTTATCTTTATTTACAAAAAGAGTACGTTTAAGTATGTTTATCAGTTTTCTATTGCCAAAGTACAAGCGTTGTTTAGCTTGGGACTAGAGAACGTTGTGTAAAAATGTGTCCGAAATATTAATTATTTGTTGTTATTCATTACTATTGCGGGGAAATTTATCTGTTTTCTCGTCTGGTTGGGTTCATAAATAAAAATAAACATATAGATATAAATATTGTATATAACATATAAATAAATAGAACCCAACCAGATGGAAGCCCACGGCAGGGGAGACCAAACGGCCGAGAATTTGAGCTAGTAGTTAGTTTATTGTTCATTACTATTATAATTATTTGCTGTAACATTTTTTTTTGCAATTCAATGTACCTCACCTCATTTCCAGCTCGTTGGTGTATCCGTTGGAGACGAATGTGTCGTCGTAGTCGGGCAGTGAGTACTTGGTCCTCCTCATCATCAGCAGCTTCGGCATCAGCTGGAGGAACAGCTTCTCCATCCACGGGGACATGGTGTGCGTCGAGGGAGACCTGGATGTGCACTTCGATTAGGAACATCATCAGACATTGTCTCCGCTCGCTTCGCTCAAAATGTGTTTCAGGTGAACAATATGATCACATCATAATTTGACCGTTTTTGTTACATGTAATTTGCTGTTAGCCCGGCGGCTTACTACATGTCACAAAAAAAAGTCACATTAAACTTGTTCTGACATAATTTATTTTTATCTGTATTCATTTATTATAAAGCTTTTGATATTTGCAGTATACAATTTTTCTAAATTACTAGCAAACTCCTTAATCGCAACCCTCACTAGAACTATGATAAGTAAAAAGTTTTCGATCTTAAATGTCTTGAGACTGAAACAAAATTAATGAATTAATAACATTATTTCATACATATATAAAAAATATGTAAATGTCCCGTCCGGTTGTCTTCTGAACCGGTCTATTTTATATCGATTGTGGTTTTTGATAATCGAGGCGAAAAAAGTGTAAGAATTTTTCCGACACGAGGTATAATCATCACAAAAATACCAACTAATAACAACTTTTTAGTCAACGGAAATATAATACGTTTATTAATAATAATATACTACGAAACGAACTTCGTTCCAACCGAGTGTTCCTCGACACACACGCATTAGTACGTACTTTAATCGCACGCTTACCGTGAGTATGTTATTTAAAATAAAAAAATAAAAAATGAAATAAAGATACTGACAATTACAAACTACAAAATAATTCGTACGCTTCCCGTAGTATGAAATGAGGTATGTTTAGAATTACCACGTTTGTAATATTTCATCAAGCCCTCAAATTTAGAACTACCTTTCTTTAAAAGGTTATGCCCAATGAACACCTAACGATGAAAGCTTAAATGAACAAACGAAAGCTACTCATTCTAATGACAAAATAAGTTGCTCGGTGTAAATTGGCCGAATTAGCAAGTATGAATCCAGAGACATCCATTATAACTTACTTACAACATACTTACTAGTCGCAACTTATTATTACTAAACAACATACTTGTTAGCTCTTCAAAGTCTGAGTAAATAATAATAAAATTAAAAGAAATATATCTATAAAAGATATATATTTAAAGTGCGTTCACAGAATTTGGTGCAGTTTTCCGCACGCATGTGTTAATTTTTTTTTTATTAATCTATCACATGCATCTACAACAACGATGTGCCTATGCTAAATACCTCACATTATGCAGTGCATGAACACTAGGGTTGTACACAAATCAAAATCAACATAGAAAAGATACTAACGTTTCTAGCTAACGTAACTAGCCGTGATAGCTAAATGTCCGGGCGCGGCGGTCGTGTTTAATTCAATACACTCGAGCAACCCGAGTCCAAACAGCGTTACCGACATCAATGAAATTGTTAATTTTAAGTGTTGATTTGTCACGTGCTCGGTGGTGAAGGAAAACATCGTAAGGAAACCTGCATATTTTCGAAACAATAACAAAAAATATATTTCGAACATATGTTACGTCTGCAAATGCGCAGTGGTTCCGCGTGGTGGACTATACCCTAATACCCTCTGTACAGAGTGGGAGATATAAAGGCTGTTACTTTACTAGTTTCAGAAAATTCGTTCCGATTTTGGGAGGGGAACGAAAACTAACGTATTAATTAATCAGACGTTCAATTGTTCCGATCGTATACAATAGGGTCTACGAAGGCTCGCCATAACGCATTGGGATAGCATATTCAACGGTGCAGACACCTAAATTTTAAGCGACATACTATGGCGCTGCTAATTGCTTTCATAGCAATAACTCAAACCGCAAAGTCCTATTACAATAATGACGTTGTAACAATGAAACTGCATAATTTATGCAGCCGGTTTGCACAGAAGCATAAGGTGCAGTTACGTTGAGGGGAAAACGTTTTTATTTACGCAAAGAGCGCTCATTGTATAATGCGTTGTAAAATAATTTTATAAAAAGACATTTAAATACTTTTTTTTAAAGACATTTCCCTCACATTATCTTGTGTTGCAAGGACGTTTTGCATACATAAATTTCACGTGGACAAACACCCAGATGCGAAACAACTATCCGTGGGTCACACAAATAGTTGTCCCGTGTGGGAATCGAACCCACGACCCCCGACGCTGAAGCCAATACCTTGACGACTGCGCCACGGAGTCACCGTTAGGAGTCACAATACGGAAGAGATACAGACAGAAAGAAAAAAAACAAAAAAAAAATATACGGAACAGATACAGACAAAAACAAAAAACAAAGACCAAAATTTCTCGAAACGCCGTGTTAAACCGTTAAACCCGATGTAAAGCAGCCTTTACGATGCCAATTAACAAGTGCAATTCGTTAAATTTCATAGTGGCACAGTATGGAGACTAACAGTATTCATTTTTGGAGTTATTAATAGTCCATTTATGTCCTTAGTAAGAAACTATTGCATTTTACGTTCGAATATGAACGTTGAACGTCGCATAAAAGTAAATAATTTAATGAAGATTCATCGCAATGACAAACCTTTAGTTATTACAACGTTAGTATAGTATATTATACTTTTATGTAGCATTTCTCAAACGTGTTTTTGTCTTTATAGTTTATAAGTTTTAAGAAATAATAACTCAATTTTTTTAACCATTGTTAACTAAATACAAAAACCGACAAAAAGCGTTCCGTACATTATATGTAAAAACGGCAATAAATCATGTCTGTGGTACGAGAGCCTCATTTAAATATTATTTTATAAGTTTTACACTTTTTTAATTAAAAAGTGTAAAGCCTTACGAATGTTAAATTCTTTTTTAATTAAAAAGCTATCCAACTTTTGAACTATAATTATCTAAGCTAACGATCCCTCGAAAGTCCTGCTCCGTCTCTAGCCTCATAGCGAGAGAGTTCATTCGAGAAATCATGAAATAATTTTCGCCACCATATTCGTACATTTACAGGCCTTTCGACGGTTATGGTGGATAGAAATTTCCTACTGTGACCTACTTTATATTCTTAACCAAAGCAAGTAGTGTTTGGGGTCACGTCCGTTGCAAGATGGATTGCACGATTGAAACGTGGTCTATTGCACCACATGGGCACTTAGATCCATACTAATATTATAAATGCGAAAGTAACTCTGTCTTTCTGTCTCGCTTTCACGCCAAAACTACTGAACCGATTTAAATGAAATTTGTTACACAGATAGTCTAGAGCCTGAGAAAGGATATATTTTTTAATTGGAAAAAAGTGTTGTAAAAGTTTGAAAATAACTAATAAATATAAATTTTTTAAAGAAAGATATGTATTCAAGAGTATCAACGTGAGCGAAGCCGCGGGCGAAAAGCTAGTTGCCTATAGTCTTAGCTTTAGCCACCACTGCTCTAAACGTCGATTTCTGTTTAAGAGGTTCTGAGCGATTCAACTTTATTTAGCATGACCTCACACCGCTTACGTTCAATTTCATGAATATTTTACGGCAACACACGTTGCATGGAATGCGTCGTTTTAAAGCCGTTTTGGCAGTATATCACACGCCATTGTAACGCTATCGTCGCGCCATAATCACAATGACCGCGTAATATTTATGACGCGTGTTTACGCTCCTCCGCATATTCATCGTGTTCCCAAACTCTAACTACAATGGAACACAGATAAAGTTTAAAATGGAACGTTGGGCTTGTATTTTTAAATTTCGTGAAGTTCATTGAATTCGAAAATTAAAAAAAAACTGTCATAAACACACCGTGCCGTCTGATGACAGTAGACTAAGAAGAGAATGTCAGACTGTTAATTTATATTGAAGAAAAAATTAATAATTCAATACAGCATGGCTGGAAATCTTAATATCAAAATTGATGTGAAGGCAAAAAAAATTATGCATTTTTATTCGCAGCCCGATTCGAAAACATTAAGTAAACCTTAATTGTGAAAGCAATTATTAAAATTTGTAAAATTTGTAGAAAGAACGAAAAGATTGTCGCCGCTGTGGGAATCGAACCCACGTCTTCGGCATTCGCGGCCGCGGACGCTTTAGCCACTAAGCTAAACGTCTTTTAACGTCTTCTAAAATCTTAACGTCCTTTATCTACATTGTTTTTATAGCATTTGAAGCAATGCTTGGCGTTTTTATATCCTTTCCAGCATACAAACAACTATTAGCACTATAAAAAAATTAAATTTGTGAAAGCAAAACAAAAAATCGTCAAATGTTCAATTTGAAAATGCAGGACAGTTGCAAAAAGTAGTTAAAAGGGAATTAAATTTTGACGAAATTAATTTTTCTTCTTCTGTGGAATGCGCTGCTTTTCAAATCAAGACGGAAGTCTCTTCGCATTTAAAAAAACCAGTAGGAGGCGACATGATTTCTAGGCATGAATATAATCTTAGCGTTATTCAAATTTTTATGCCTCTTTTACCAAAAAAAAAACTGCTCGCCTTACACTGCCAAACAACTTGGCTCTGCTAATCATCGCTAAGAACTGTATGGTGTTTAAATGTAGGAACATATTTTTAAGTAAATCGTAAAAGATATTATGAGTGCATGTTAAAATAAAGTTGTGGATAATTTTATCTTTATATTATTTCCGATTTTTTTTTCTCCAAAAAAATTACTTTTACATCTCAAATTAAAATATATGTATGATATACAATTATTGTTTGTTATATGACAAGCATGTGCAAAATAACCTATAAAGTTTTTATCAAAAACTCACTCGATACTAATTAAAGACTTCTGTTAACAAAATATAGTATCGGATAGTGTTTTTAAATAGTTATCTTTTTAACATCATGCACGATCTATTGAAAAATAAATATTATAAGTGAATTTTACAGTAAAATATCTTTGTGATATGTCAAATTTGTCACACAACATAAAACCTATAACTGTAAAAACTTAACCGCAGAAACGAAAATGGTTAGAAAGGAAACAAACTGAACAACGTTCCAACTAATGAACAAGCCTCACTCACCTAAAATGCACGTTAAGTACCAACACCGTCATCCACACACTTAATGACACCAATATCATTGTGAACAGCAAATACTTCCCTAACAACGGTATCGCCAGTGATGTAGGCGGTATAATCTCGGCCATCAACAGGAAGAACACAGTCAGTGATACCAGTATCGAGATGCTTAATGATATCTACGAAAAAGAGAAAGATACATAAGGATTACCTGAAATGGACGTTTACTATGCATACAGTGACCCATACGCTGAGCGAGACGAGTATCATGGTGAATAGCAGATATTTCCCAAGCAAGGGGATCGCCAGGGACGTTGGCGGTATAATCTCCGCCAGACCAAGGAAGAACACAGTGAGGGACACCAGGATGGAGATGCAGAGCGAAATCTAAGGGAGAGAAGTCCTTTTTGAGTTACACGCTACTGATAATCCGCCAGTTGTCTTTCCACTGTTGTTCATAAACTTCGTCAAAATGGGGACTGTTATTCCGCACCAGGGCCCGGTGACAAGGCCAATACAACAAGGCTTGTAAATGTTTAGGGAGCTCATCGTCAAAAAACTAAAATCCATTCGCTTTTTGTTTGCACTTTTAACAGTCGCCAATTTGTTTATGTTTGAGTTTAAAAAACTTTGATTAGTTAATTTTATTTTTATTAATACATAATGTATTTATCGAAGTAGCAGTAAAGCCTTTGAAAGTAGAAATTTTGTTCCATTCTCAGTAAATATTATAGAAAATGAAAGATCTTCCATATTATAAACCAGTAAAGCATTTCTCTTTAAAAAAAAACAACTTCCCTAATATTAAAAAAATTGAATGGTAGTTACTAGTTGCGCAAGTCATCCTTCCCAATTGAGAAATGGAAAAAAACTTCGCTTTGGATTTGCATTATCATAATTGACAAGCAAATCATTAACGAAAAACTAACACATGCTGAAAACGCGAAGCCAATTGTCAAACAGAAAATGTAAATAAAGGGAAAATGTTTGATAACATTCAAATACAATACAAAGATAATATAAAAATTTTGACGTTTTTGAACTAGATAACTTGGTGCTATTCTTTGTAGTAACAAAAAATATTTGGATTCTTGTATTCACCATAACACATTTTGTTATATTTCGGTTAAGTTAAACATCATTTTTGCTAAAGCAGTTACAAATTACAGATATGTTTATTTTTTTGACTGCCTGCAATTATTTTACGACAATTCGATAAAAATAAATGAAGCTATCGAAAAACCTTTCAAGACGATCTGTTTTATTTAAATAGACGTGATCTTGATTTAAATGTTTTTATTAATAATATTTTACTTTCTGGTGGAAAGACAAAAGTAAATGATAGGCAAAATAATTTTGATGACACTACCACTCACACAACAGCCAATTGATCAAAAAAGACTGACACTTGTAACGGACCAGTAATTTGGCAAATGGAATATGGATGGATTGAAGGATGGAAATGAGCATGCCCTTGGGTTGACAGATATGCACGTAGAGCACTGATTTTTTTTTAATAGAGCTTTGAGGGACATTCACTAGTTGTGACGTAAAGTTTTCCTGTATGAAAGGGAAATAAACAACTACTTGACTCAAATATGGTCAAAAAATCAGTAACCCGTAGCAGTTTACATTTTTCCATCAAAAAATCACTTAGTTCGACTGTAGCTAAATGAATATCATGAAGTTAGACTAAAAATCCAATTAATATTTTTAAAAATGTATATAATACAGTTACCAAATATCTTTTTCGTTAGCGACAAAGAAAAGGAAGACAAATTTTACTTTTTTTGCCATGTGTACGATATTCTAAGGCGCCATCAGAAAAAAAATCAGTGCCTCCGCATAATCAAAAGGTTCACAACACCATATCATTATACATTGATCTGGAAAAGTATTTTTTTTACACTTTATTAATTAAATTCACAATACTTACGTGACATCGTAAACTTTACCTTTTCGCCGGAGTCTGACGGCAAGTAAAATACCAATACTGTTAGAAACGTGAGACCGACGCAGGGAATTATAAGATTCACCGTGTAAAAAAGAGTTTTTCTACGCATCGTTAACTTGAATGTTATGTCTGTAACAAAAAAAATTGCAAAATTCATTAAAAATTTAGATATTACAGAACATTAGTTAACAACAGAGTAGTATAGAGTATGTCAAGCCACAATTTTTTTTTAATGTGAAAAGGTTTAAGCGAGCAGGTGGTTCACCAGATGTTAAGTGATAACCGCCACCCACTGACATTTGCAACACCGTATTGCCATCTTTTAATAGGGTAGGGCTCGGTTATCTCACTCACCAGACGAAACCCAGAAGCGCAACACTTCCACTTCACGCCGGTCTTCTGTGACGTCGTGGTACTCACCAAGACGAACCAGCCCATTCGTGCAAAACTGTTGCGTAGCCCTACCACATATCTATAGGTTTAATATTGTTTCCGTTTTAACACATTTAGTTATCTTAAAATTTTACGGAATTAAAATTTCTATAACGATAACCGGGTAGACATCAATTACAAAATCGTCGCCTAGAAAAATTTATGGTCAAATTGTCACACCTGCCTGGCATAATGTTAAACATATTATCGTAGATCCGACTTCTAATATTTTACAATAAATAAGCTTGATGTTTCATGATTTATGACTACCCCGATATTCTGATTTGAATTTTCCAGAAACAAACTTTTGAACTTTTCTTGGCTTACCAGAGAAAGGCTCAGCACAGCAAGGGTAATACTCTTCGTTTCTAGTAGCAGGTACTTCCAGAATGTCCCACTCGACGGATAAATAAAATTCGCTCAGATCGATCCCAACGTGTACAAGACTGCTACCGGGAGACTGATCCATATGCTTTAGGTCCACCTTAAACAAACCATAGATTCAAGTTATTATACTTAATACTTCTTCTTTCGTTTCTATCAAAGTTAATTTTTTTCATCCATAAATAAAAACCTACAGTTATACATAATGGAAAGCTGGATCCATCATTTAAATTGAAAACTAACGTAAAGAAATAAGATAAAGAAATTATAAATAGTCTAAAGAGATTTCTTATATAATATGTCTCCATATGTTTAAATATTACTTCACTGCGATTTTCTATACAACTGTCGTGTCTACTTAGTTGTTGGAAAATATTTACATAATAATATAATAATAATGTATTTTATTTCTTCACAATATATGACAATACAATTTATTCAAGTAATTGTCCGAAGCTGGTGTCTATTTTAGGTGTACACCTGTATTATAGATCACCAGGTCCTCACCCCACGGAATCAAGTTAAGCATAGTTAACAAAGAACTAAACTAACTAAAACTAAAAGAACCGACTATAATATCAGTCTGTCTATTGTTGAAAAGGCACTGTTAAGTTGGTGCAATTTAAAAGTTTGTTGAATGCCCAGCTTTTCTTTAGCAATGTCAATACATTAAAGACAATCGGGCGCAGGTACGTTTTTATTAAATAAATGGTAAAATTAAAAGTGCTGAAATTACTTGAGCTCCATTATAGGTCCACGATCCGAACTTCATGAAGCACGTCTGCTCGTCAAATGGGAAATATTCGACATTAATCTCGCAGGACGACTTGTAGATCGCAGGCGGCTTCCAGTTCACTTCGCCAGTATACTTCAACGTTGCTTTTGTCATTAACGTCACCTACGACGCAATGTGCAATGTCAGTGAAAACAGTCCAATAGAATAACGGGTCCACCAGTCTGCTTGCTTCTCGAAAATACATGGCAAATAAACTTGAGGCATACCACCATGACCGTTAAATTTATCAAGCACATAAAGGAAGTACATTCAAATATTCGCAGTTCGTATTAGTCGAACAGTTCAGCCAATAAAAATAATGAAGCAAAAGTAATTGCCACCTGATACGTATGGTTCAAACCAAATAAGAGGACCCAATTAAGAACTCCAGAAGGGCGTCCCAGTTCCGACAACTTCAGCGTTACCATGACATAACTTTCTTTTTAAAATCACATATCATGCACTAACATCGACCAAGTTATGTGATTTGACTAATAAAGGAGTCAAATTTTCAAAGTCGATAATTTTTTTATTCCTGCAATTTTTGTAATCAACATCGGACCAACAAACTTTTCAACGTGATGCAAAAACCATAGCCATGTTTGCTGCTGCAATGATGGTTGGCTGACTATGGTTTTTTACTCATCGAATAGAAAAAAATAAGGTTCAGAAAAAAAGTAAAGTATTAAAGTAACAGCCTATACATGTCCCACTGCTGGGCAAAGGCCTCCTCTATACAGAGGGTATCAGGGCATAGTCCACCACGCGGCCCCACTGCGGTTGGCGGACTTCACATATCTTCGAAAAATATTTTTTTTTGTTATTATTTCGAAAATATGCAGGTTTCCTCACGATGTTTTCCTTCACCGCGGAGCACGTGATAAGTCAGCACTTAAAGTTAAAAAGTTCATTGGTGCCGGCACCGGGGATCGAACTCAGGTTGCTCGAGTATATTGAAATAAAGGCGAGCGCCCGGGCACTGAGCTATCACGGCTCCTGGGTTCAGAAATAGTAACCATAATTATAAATGTTTTAGTTCCCATCCCTCCTCCACTCCCTCTTCCACTCGTCTAAAACTATCGGAGCGGGATTATTAATTGACTTTCCGTAGACTAATAAAGATGGGAAAGAAGCGTGAAACTTTAAGTTTTGTTTGATGGTGCTTAATGATGACGATCAGAACCTGATCTATTCCACTAGTCCAAAACATTTTCCAGTTAATGGCCCCCTGCCATGTCCAATCGGCTTACTTCAAACTTACTTTGAAAAATATTTTATCCCGTAAAACAAACCCTAGGCTCATACCTTCTTTATTTGTATGTATGTACACGGTTGTTCCTAAATTTATGTTGTCAATTCAAATGCAAATAATTAAGCATACCTACTTACGAATAAATCGCAAAAATTCTCAATGGCTTTTCACCTACATCAAATTTAATAAATTTTAATTAGAAGAAAGAATTAATATTATAAATAATATATAAAGAAGAAATATAATATATAAAGAATATAATATATAGAAGAAATTAATATTAAAAATAAAAGTTCTGTAGTGCATAAAGATAAAAGTGTGCCTAGTGCAGCAATCCAGCAATTTATTTATACCCATACATATATATGGAGAATATAATTGAACTGTATAGCCCAGAGTGACCACGTTTATCAGGGCAAAATCAACTTGACTTGTGATTCTATCACTTTATCTAGAAATTTGACTGCAAATATTAAAAAAAAGTAGTGCCCATCTTTAACTTTCATTACGATTTGAGTCTCCCTTGTTCTCAGTTCGTTTGACGCATCTCAGGATTAAGTAGAATATCATTTTCTTCTATTTAAAAGAATGTTATCATTGTTAACATTTATTTACTCACTTCGTAATTACCGTCCCAATTATTGTACAGCACGATATCTGGGAGCCAGATGTGCTCCGACGGCACGTACAGCATTTCAACGCCACCGTAGTCTTCAGGATTCCACTGGAGCTTGTAGTCGAACCATTTCTGAAAAATTTTATTTAACGGCCTTAATCGATTTGCTTTTAAGTAAATTGTTTTTAAATTTTAAGAAATTCCACCGTCGGCAACAGTGCCAGAGAGTAGCAATTGCTACGGGCACCAACCCAAAGGGGGCCACGCGTATTTAAATCCACTCATCTCTGCCTGAACAGAAAATTAATTTTTTGAGTGAAACTTATGAAATATTGTATTGTATTATTTTTGCCACTTTATTACTTAAGGACCCATAGCAGATCAAGGGGTGTTTGAAAGAATTTGCTACGGGCCCCACGGTTGCTTAATCCAGCACTGTTCGGCACCCGGGATAGTGCGTTCGATTAAGATTTCAGTGTTTGGCTTCAAGGAGTTTTAGCATAGCAAGGAGCATTAGCATCAGGCAGGTGACCTGGCCAATAAAAAAACACCTAGCCAATACTACGGTGGTAGGGCCATGCAAAACTGTTGCACGAATGGGTAAGTAGCACAACCTCACAGAAGACCGGCGTAAAGTAGAAGTGTTACACTTCTGCGTCTCGTCTGGTGAGTGAGGTAGCCTGGCCGACTTTATTAAGTGGTGGCAATGCATCTGGTACCCTACGGGTGTTGCAAATGTCCATGGGCGGCGGTTCCCACTTAACATCAGGTGAACCGCCAGCTCGTTTGCCACTTACTCACATAAAAAGCCAATAGCATGGTGGACCCTATCTAGGTGGGTTAAGAACGTAAAATTACCTGCTCCACCCACAAATTGGTCGTCATGACCTGATTCTTGAGGTTCACCTCCATCAGCTGCGACAGCTTCAGGCCCAGCCACACCGTGAGAATGTCGGTCACGTTGGTCACGGGACGGATCAAGCGGTTGTAGTTGCTCAGCAGATCGTCGTACAATCGCTTCACGTCCGGGTTCGCTTCCAACAGCTTTACGCCTAGAAACAGATAATAGACAGCGCCCACTTTATTTGGTATACCCCTTTTTGCCTGGTGAATGAGGTAACCGGAGCCGGTTTATTAAATGTGGCAACTCATCTGCGACCCGGTGTTGCAAATGTCCAGGGGCAATCGGTTATCGTTTAACATCAGGTGACCTGACAGATCACTTGCCACTTTCTCACATCATGGTTACGTGTACTTATGTACGCGCGTGAGAAGTTACCCTTCTTTGGCGTCATTAATTTAAATAGTTTTTAATTGCATGCAAATAAAAAAAAACTGGAAAAGGATATGAATAATAAAAATGTGAAAGCGCCATCTACAGTCTTTATTGGGAGCTGTAACGGGCGAATGTTATTGAGAATATGCTGCCATCTAAGAAAAAAATAAGCGATTTTGCGGGCAGCTTAAAAGTTGTTGCTTTTGTTTTACAGTAATGCGCGCGCATCTTACAATTTCACTCACATCATTTTTTCATAACGCGCCTAAAGAAGTATAACTTGAAAAAAAGATGAATGAAGGTATTTCAGATTAATTACTTCGCCATAAATGAATAAGACATAAATCAGTAAATCATTGTAATCGTCATTTTTCTTGCCACTGTCATTGTTTTGAACCTGTTGAGGAAGACGGACTTGCGCATTTCACGCGTGCCAGCCCCGGGAAAATCAATCGAGGTAACCGATGCGCAGATTCCAATGGGGTCTAGAATTTTCCCTATATGTAATTATACACATTCCCAAGAAGTTCATAATCATTCTGTATTATTAAGACTCTCAATTCTACAATTAACAAAATTTGATCATTATGGTAAGTTAAATAAAATTTAAATATATATATTAATAATATATAGATAACTATTTACAGTAAGGAAGATCGTCTGTTTGTTTAGTTCCTATAATTTTTTTTTAAATAGATCTTTTTGTTTGTTTAAAGACAAAGAACTTATGAAAATTTCACATTGATACATATACATATCTTAATGGAGTAATGAAACAAGTACTTACCATTGCAGCTACTTATACAAATGAATAATAAACAAATGAATTTCAAATTCATCTTGCTCAAACAATTAAAACGATTTAATTTTCAATTTTTACACCAGGCCCAGACAGGGATCTGCGCCTCCCCTTACTGAATTGAGGGATGCTGTGCGCAGGCGGAAATAAAATCAATACGCAGCCGTTTTGGCGGCTGCGACCGAGAGAACCAAACTTGCATACTCATTCATCGCTAGATGGCGTTACTTCACTAGGACAAACGAAACTTGATTTCATCTGTGGAGTGTGGCATCACCATTTCTTCGGTTCCATATTTAATTAAAAGTACCTGGAGGACCGAGCTTTGCTCGGAATTTTTTTTTTGTGACACGTATTTTGGAAATGAGATAGATAAAAATTACTGAGTAATGAAATATGTATAATATTTTTCGATCTTACCGACGTAATAATAAGAAAATATGGACTGGTGTTTTCACAAGAGACAGAACTTTAAAAAAAAGGGAAAAACTAACAAAATCATCTGGATCGACAAAAAATCAAAAATTAAGAAAGCAATGATCTGGAATCGAAAAAAAAGTGAAAAGAAAAAGTGTATAAATGATCGTGATACGAACCGCGGCCGTCTGTTTTGGGGCCACCCGATTACCGACCGAGCTAATAACATTTAATTCTGCGACGAAATTTACCGTCATATTCGAATGATATTTTTCATTCCCTGAAAACAGGGATAAAAGGACATTTTCTAAATATTAAACCTACTAAATTTAGTATGTACTACGTACTACGTACATACTAAATTTCATGAAAATCGCTGGAGCCGTTTTTCCGATTATATATTATATATACAAAAATTGCTCGTTTAAAGGATAAGATATGTTACGTTGTTGGCTAAGAAACTGACAACAAACACATCTACTGAAATCTAACCACCACTATTTTACCCCACTAATTTCGGTCGCCAGGTAAAAATATGTTGCGAAGCGAAATAGTATTTTTTCTTTTTTTAAGAATTTAAGTAGATACTACTTCATATAGTGATCTTTTGATAAAAAAACCTAAAATGAAATAACTTATTAAATGTTGAGCTTTTATGATCTATGTACTTCAGTTACAGCGAAAACTGGGTGGAATTATTTTAAGCACCAAGATTAAAATTTATAAAATGATACTAAAGTATGATGAACTAAACTACTAGTTATCCACCTGAATATGGTGTGTTTTCGAATTATAAACACACTTAACTCAAGTATTTTCACTATAAGGATAATAATTATATTCCAAAGTCTCTATGAGTTATTTCTTAGCGCATTTTGCAATAATAACTAGCCAAAAATCTTGTCAGTGACAGATTTAAAAGTTATTAGTTATAAACGACTTGTACACATTTATATTCATTTAGCAATTGGACTTCGGCGAGAGTCACAAACGGTTGCAGAAACATATCACAAGCGTACTTTTGTGTATACTTACACTTTACACTTTATACGTGTATGTAAAAAGAATATAAAAATATTCTTTTTACATACTTTTATCCCAATGTAATTTTATATTGATTTGTTATGAGGTGATGGCACCTCAATGTCTGAATGTCAAAGATTATAAATACTTTTACGTTATGTCCGTCTTCTGTGATTTGGTACCTCCAAAATGTAAAACTACATATACACGTAGCTAACGTTAAGCAAATTTAAAGCGTGTGAAACACTTTCGATAACCAGAAAAAAAGCGCACATATACGAATAAACACGCAATTTAACATAAGACCTCAAGAGATATATATGAATATGAAACTAGAAAATTGTGCATGTGGAATAAATCCCACACGGAAATAACCTCTCATGTATAAATGCGCACATATAAGAAAACGCAATATTCATTATAATGTATAGTTTAATTTCTCAATATCTTAAATTCATATAAAACCGCACCTAACTATACCTTACAGTAATTTACGATGAAGTAACAATTACTTATTCTCATTAACTGAAGAAGAGTGTACTTTTTCATGATGTTGAAATAAACTTGCTTTTTTTTACAATGCACGTGCGCATTTATGCAATTCTGTGGTACGGACACAGCCTTCGCTGTTGCACGAATGGGCAGGTCCGTCCAGGTAAGCACCACGACCTCACAGGAGTCCGGTGGGAAGTGGAAGTTTTATACTTCCGCGTTTCGTCTAGCAAGCGAGGTAGCCGGGGCCAACTTCATTAAAAGATGACAACACGTATGCACCCTACGGGAGACGCAAATTTCCATAAGCGGCGATTATCACTTAACATCAGGTGCACAAACAGCTCGGTTGCCACCTTCTCACATAAAAAAATTACAATAAAAAGTTTTTGCGTCACGTACTAATGTATAATGTTTGCTGAATCTGTAAAGTGCTGGTTAGATAATTTAGACGAAAGCCAACATTGAAATGGTTACGATTATTATTTATTTTTACACATTATATATTTACTTATAAAAAAAGATGAAAGTATTTAAACAATTTTATTAACAACAATGATTATCAACATACATAATACAAATTCATAAGATCGCGTACTAAAGATACTACTTACACTAAAAACATTTTAAATCACACTATGACCTAAGGAGAACCTATAGATATAACAGACATATTTTTTGACAAAACCTAATTAAGTTAATCCAACTTTTACGGCCAATAAGTGTTTAATTCATGAAATGCATAAGAAAAATCTATTTCATCTCTCATTATTCTTTATTTGATATATTTGTAAACTTCTTCGGTAGCGATACTTCACTTCAGAATCGTCTCTATCTGTAAATAAAAAATATATTATTATCGTTGAGCATAATTCCCAATAGTACATCCACCGCATAATATAAAGACGAAAGTGTCATCTATTGGCAAAGTGAAAGTCACGTGTACTTTACTCAGTCTAGTCCGCAACAGTCTCTTACGAGATGTTTTAATGCTGGATTGATAAAGCAGCTTCCCTTACAGTGACTACAAAATTATGTGTATACGCAAATTCATTCATGATGCCACCGTCATTAGTAACGAACCGGCGACTTTTGCTCCTATATCTAAGGTTCCAAATCCTATAAGTGTAATACTTTCGCGTTTCGTCTGGTGAGTGAGGTAGCCGGAGCCCAATTTTCAAAAGGTTATCAACGTATTTGCAACTCTCGGGTGTAGCAGATGTTCTCGGGTGTAGCAGATGTTCATAGCGGTATTCACTTAACATCAGATGAACCGCCTGTTCGCTTAAAAAAAAACATTACAATAAATTATATGGAATTTCTATGTTTTTTTTAGTAGTCCACGGTATAAAAGTTTTATTGTAGGTACTTTATGGGAAAAGTTGGCAAGCGAGCAGGCGGTTCACCTAATGTTAAATGATTGCATCTAGCATTGCCAACATTTACAAAAGTGGGGCCCCGTTGCCTCACTCATCAGACGAAACGCGAAAGAGTAATATAGTATCAAACTTTTTTATATTTTTTTCCTTTTGATATTGAATCTCACCTCTGTTAGGATATCTAGGCAAGGGCCACAGGCTGAATGGGTAAAAGTAAGCAATGGGCATCCTCCTCACGGCGATAGTCTTGTCCTGCACGACGTTGGAATCTGAAACAAACGATGAATATTTTACTTGCAAGCTTGACTCGTCAGCCGATAGATATAAAGAGGGATTCATTCAAGGAATCAATTAATTCCCAAATAGAAAGTGCATTTGCAAAACGAGAATTGCATAAAATTATTGCCTACAAAATCATCAATAGATATAAGAATAAAAATGTAACTGATCGTTGTCTGTATATGGAAAATATTTGAGAACAACTATATTGGGGCTCTTTATCAACGCAGTAGAACCCAAAACAACGATTGTTAAAATTTGTCTGTATGTTTTGTATCATATTATTATGTACGTCTGTTTGTCTGTAAAATGATGACGATTGTAAGTTACTATTTATAGGGGGATATTCATTTGTTTTCTCGTCTGGTTGGGTTTATAAATAAAAATAAAAATATAGATGTATATTGCATATATAAAATAAATATTATGGATAAAAATAAACATATAAATATGTTATATATAAATAGGACCCAACCAGACGGAAGCCCTCGGCAGGGGAGACCAAACGGCCGAGGGTTAGGGCGAAAGGGAGAGAAACCGGCGGACGATGCGGGCGGTATCGAGGAGCACCGCCTTCTGCATTTGAGCTTGGAGCGATCCGTCCCGGAGTCCCAGTCACCTCAGATGTTTAGAGAGGCTGACTGGGATTAACCCATTGGCAGAAACGACTATCAGGATAATTTCAGTCGGCACACCACCCCACATGTCGGTCACCTCGTGAGCCAGGTCCAGATACTTTGTCTTCTTATCTGTTTCGGCTTTCACGAGGTTTTCGTCATATGGAATGATAATGTCGACCAAAAATACCCGCGACTGTGCCCGGTCCATCACCACGATATCAGGTTTGTTCGCGACAATCGTCCTGTCCGTGATGATGGGCCGGTCCCAATAGAGCCTGGCGCGGTCATTTTCGAGCACGGCTTCCGGATAGTACTTGTAGTACGGCAGTTTTTCACCGCGAGGCCGTATTTCAGAGCGAGCTCCTGGTGTAGGATTCTGGCTACTAGGTTGTGTCTATGCAGATACTCAGAGTTAGAAAGTATGGAACAACCGGAAATAACATGCCGAAGCGACTCCCCGGGATGGCGACAAGCTCGACAGATGTCGACGGTGCCATCCTTTAGGATGTATCTCCTATAGTTGTTCGTCTTAATAACCTGATCCTGTATCGCACAGACAAAACCTTCGGTTTCCCCAAAGAGGTCACCGAAACGTAGCCAGTTCAGGGAGGCAACAGTATCTACGAAAGGCTCGTGTAGTGCCTTGTAGAACCTCCCGTGGAGCTCTTTCTCCTTCCATACAGCCTCTCGGTCGGAAACGCTCAGTACTCCCGGGTCCTGCCATTGCTCGTTGGCTAAGAATAGAGGGGTAAGTCCTTTATCACAACTAATGACGTCCGTGTAGATTGACTCATCCGATCTCGCCAGAAAGTAGTTACGGAGGCTGCACACCTCGCGATTGTGCATGGTGAGGGCGCTTAAAAAGCCCCTCCCGCCATGCTTCCGCGGAAGGTACAGCCTCATCACTGACGATCTCGGATGATGCATTCTGTGGGACGTCATAGTTGTGCGGACTTTTCGGTCCAGGCGTTGAGCTCAGTTTGAGTCCACCTGAGTATGCCAAAGGTATACATGAGGACTGGCATGACCCAGCCGTTAAAAGCACGTGCCTTGTTCCCGCCTGACAAATGGCTATTAAACACCTTTGTCAGGCGTGCAAAAAACACGTCACGAACTGACTGTTTCATGCCAGCCTCATCGATACACATATTTTGTGACATACCCAGGTATCGGTATGTTTCAGCCTCAGAGAGGGTCCTTATGTTAACGGGCATAGATAAATCTATGCCCTCCGTGTTAGCGACCTTACCCCTTTCGAGATGGAGCACCACACACTTATCCGTCCCAAGCTCCATTTTGATAGAATTGCTGAAATCACAAGTGACTTTAAGCAATTCCATCAAATGGGAGCGATTGGAGGCGAATAATTTGAGGTCATCCATGTAGAAAAGGTGGGTCACTTTTGTCCCTCCTCTCCGAAGCTGAAATCCTCCCCCCGAGCCCTACAGTAACACGCTGAGAGGATTCAGGGACTGGCAAAACCATATTGGACTCAAACAATCGCCCTGGAAAATACCCCGTCGTATCCTTATCCGGTATTCCGCAGCCGTCATCCGCTCGCCTAGATGACAAAGGATCGTACTCCATTGCCCCATACAGTGCTCGAGGAAGTAACTGTAAACTGGAACTTACTGTACAGTCTACTTTGTACAGTTCGAGGACCCTCTTTAGCCATGTATGGGGCACCGAGTCGAATGCCTTTTTGTAGTCTATCCAGGCGGCGGAGAAGTTCCGACGGTTGCGCTTAACCATTTTGCCAATGACCGCGTCGATGAGAAGCGGTTCCTTGGTTCCACGACCGCCGCCCCGACATCCATTCTGAGTACGAGACATAATCCGATTCACATTAATATGCCGGGTGATTCTCATACTCAGAATAGATGTCAGTGTCTTATAGATGGTGGGTAGACACGTAATGGGGCGGTACTTACTTGGGTCTGTGGTAACATGATCTTTCGGAACCAAATGAGTGACCCCAGTAGTAAAGAGGCTCGGGAGCGACCTCTGATCGAGAGCCACTTGGAACTGTCCGGCGAGTACAGCATGACACACCACGAACCCTTTCAGCCAGTAGTGATGCAGCCCGTCGAGTCCCGGACTTTTCCAGTTCGGGGCTCTACGGACTGCCTCAGATACGTCGTCGGGTGTTATGACGACGGGGTCCATGGGTGTAATGTCTGCACATTGGCTCGCCACGACTTGTGTCCAAGGGCCCTCACTGTGGTCTACAGGCTCTGACCACAGGCTGCGCCAAAAGGCGACGGCCTGGTCTGGTCCTTGGCCCGTTCCACAACTCATTGGTCGCTCCAAAGATTTGTAGAGCCTCTTTTGGTCACTCTGGAAGAGGCGATTCTGGATAAACCGCGCCGTCCTCCCGGAATATCTCCGAATCCGCTTCCCCCAAGCAGCGATCTTCTGCTTCAGGTCATCTATGCGCTCCGTTAGTTTTTGCGTAATATCCGGCTGGGACAAGTTGGTGTTGGTCCCAGCGAACGCCATCCTAACGCTGCGCACAATTCTGGGCCTATTATTGCCTGACCTGAAGCTTATCAGCCTGCCGATGATGGCCCTTACCTTTGCGATACGGTCCTCAATTCTTCTTCTCCATACTGGGATAGTGCTACCTGGTCTAGTAGCACGTCCAGTCTTGGGAAGTTTGGCGCCAACGATTCGGCATACTGCCAGTGCAGCGCCAAATAGAATTGAGTCCGTAGCGCAAAGGTCCCGGCTAGCTTCCAAATAGGTTGCCAGCATCGGGTTGAGAGACCTTACGACAGACCGACTCCGCTTACTCAGGGGTATGCGGGGGAGACGTGATCGATTCTCGAGAGGCGTTTCGCGCACCTCCAGAATTGCCTCCTCCAATATGCTTCTCATCTGCTCTATATCTTGGGCGACTATTCCATCATCGCACGAATCTACAGGAGCCGGGGGGTAAAACGCGGCCTCCGCTTCCGCTTGTAACCCCGCGAGGTCCGCAGCTTGCGGGGTCGAATTTCCAGCCACTGCATTTTCGTCCGATGAGGGAACAGCCTCACGTCGAAGTCGTACGAGTTCGGCATCATCAAATATTTTCGAACGCGTGATGTACCGAACTCGGTCTGCCAGGTTTTGCTCGGTGACGGTTACAGACGGCTCCAGCTCAGCAAAAAAGCGATGCATCCTTGCCCGATACGCAAACCCTCCAGTTTCACTCCCTTTCGCCCTAAGATACGCCCGCATTGCGTTCCTGTTCATGTCTGTCGTCCAGCGCAAGCGGCGTATTCCACCAGCGGCGGGTGCCGATTGCTGGATCCGAGAGGACTCTGCCGACACCAAGCCAACTGGTGGGGATGATGGATGCGAGGTATTGCTAGGTGGTCGTGCAGTACCCCGCGCTCGGCTGGCGTCCCGCATGCTGCCACGTCCAGCGCCAGCTCCAGACGCGCCCTGGCGGCCCCCAGGCAGCGGACCTATGCTTATTCTTCGGGAGTCCATCATCCATTATATTTTTAGGGCGTCATTTAACGGAAGACGCCCCCAGACCGGCACCGTTTTCAATAGTGTGGCCATACGCACAGACGGGCCTATGCACCCTCACTTTTGCCGAGGCACGGTGCAAACACCTCTTGGCAAGGCGCTGACTGATTGCGCCGACGTAACAGTTCTGTCACTTAAACTGTTACGCCGGTGGGCGATGGGGTCGTCACTTCACTATTTATTATTATTATATTATTAAGTATAATGTAGTACATGCGAACGGAGCCGCGGGCGAAAAACTACTTTGTTAAACTTGTACAATAAAATTGATCGAAGCTATATAAGCGTTCATTTTACCATCGAGCTTTATTTGTTACTATCAACGGCACATCTACGTGTGATCGCTACTTATTGCGACTTATTGCGTCGCACAGTTACTCCACACAGACAGTATAGTAACGTCGTACAGCTAGTCGTCACAAACGCATACAACGTATACCGTTACGGCGCTAGGCAACTGAATCACATCAAATCAATTACAGTCGGGCCTCTGATGATTGAGTTGAAATAAGCCAAAGTGCCGCCAATCACGCGTTCGGCTCGCTTCTTGATCAACACTACAACTACTATTACAATGTAACGCGTTTGCAGTGTTTAGATGTAGACTGGTGATTGGTGGGAAAATCAAGTGACATCCGCGATGAATCTGTATATAATTTATAGTTAAAGAAATAAGCAAAAAGTTGAAAAGTTTAAAAACCCAAATATGTCGTTGGTTCAAAACGGGCTTCGTAAAATTCGAATCAATTCAATTTAAAGACAAGATACAAGGTCGCTCTTTAAAGGAGGAAGGGACTGATTCGCAATAAATGATACCCCACTTCCCACCAAACTAGGAAGACTTTGCAGGG